GAGAGAGAGAGAGAGAGAGAGAGAGAGAGAGAGAGAGAGAGAGAGAGAGAGAGAGAGAGAGAGAGTCTCCTTTTCTGGGTTTTGGGGGGGGTGGGATTTTCCAAATACCCCCATAAGTTCAGATATATGTCAAAATGTTCCTAAAAGATATGGGCACAGTGGAATGGCCTTTTGGACTGATTTGCAAATTTGCTTGGCGTTTTGCAATTGGACCTATGAAAACTTGGCAACTGCCGGGGCATTTTGCAAAGTTGGGCAGCATCTGGTAGGGGTGCATTGCAAAGATGGGGTCCAACTAATGGCTGGGGTGTTTCGTGAAATGTTTTTATCACCGTCTAGGTCCACTTGTGTTATGAAAGGAAATATGTACAAAAGGTTATGGCGGAAAATTAACGAGAACGTCAGAAAACCCACTAGGGCAGGGTTCTGGGCAGCGCCAATGCAAGAGAAAAAAAAAAAAGGGAAAAATTATGTTGCAAAAAATATAGGCTACCAGTCGGGCCCCCCGGGCCACCCTATTTTCCCGGACCGCCCGGCCGTTCAGGGACCAGGGAAGGTCCTACCAAAAAAAAATAAAAAAATCCCCAAAAAACTATGCAGAAAAAAAAACTATGTCATGCAGAAAAAAAAACTGAACAAGTTTTGTCTCAGCGTCACTTCGATATTCTTTGCCTAATTTTTTTATTTCTATTTTTTCTTATTTCTTTGGTCCGGTCGGGCAAATGGCTCTAGGCTGTGTGTCCGATGAACGGAGAACGTGCGAAATTGGACGCCGTTGAACCCGTTCAACGGGCCTGGGCCCCCTCGTTAAATTGCGTTTAATGCGAAAACAGGGGTGTTCCGTTGAGTTTTGAAAAACGGAACCGGCACGTTGGGCCTCGGACACGTGGCCCTACGCGCCCAAACAATGAAAACAGGAAAAAAAAACAAAAAAAAAAAGACCCCTACTAACAGGGTGGGGTGGCCAAACATGCCCCTCCCTCCCGAATTTCAAACTGCAAGAGGGAAAAAAGTAAGGGCCACCCCGTACCCCAAGACTGTGAGCACATGTGTGTGCATGTGGGTGCATGTGGGTGCATTTCCTTTTTTTTTTTTTTTTT